CCTGTCCCAACATTTAGTTTGGTTGCAAGTGGACGTCAGTGAGGTGACTCCCAAATTCATGCTCTTTTCCGATTCAGTGTCTGCGAAGAAGATTAGGCCAGAGCATTTGTGAGATCACATTCAAGCAATGGTTTTGCATTGTGGCATTCCCCTTCTTGCCAAATTCCATGATTTCTGCCAGGGGACTGCAGCGCAAGGTTGGGCACAGTGTTTATGCTCCTTGCCTGGTCTTGCTTCTGTTTTACTCCCATTAGTCTTGGCCATTCTCCTGAACGCATTCTTCTCAAGGCTTTGATCAAGGGTCTGAACCACACGCTGCAAGAGCTTGCTGGAACCTCACTGGCTGCGCTGAAATCTTCTGCAGAGCTGCTGGCTACAGGTCCTGAATCCGTGCGTGGTGTTGAGCTGCCACCATTTCGGGAAAGATATTTGGTGAAGACTGCGCCTTTGCCAAGATTCAAGTTCAAAAATACACATGTTGACATGTTGTGCCCATGAATCAAAAGCCTAGGGCTTATGGCTTATGGGGTCAAGCAACATGTGTCTTCGCAAAGCCAACTTAGGTGAGTGACGAAGAAAGGATGGGCTTCAAGGCAGTGAATATTCTGGCAGGCCCCTTCAGGCTGCGGGTGTTCTCACAGCCAGACTTTGCCCACAGGAGCTGGAATGATTTTGGCAATGCCGTAGACTCATCAAAGTTGAGATCCTGCATTCTCAAATGCACTCTCCTGTGCAATTGGTGTTTGGGACCATTCAACACGGGAACCCACCAACAGAAGCTTGAAGATGCAGCCAGGCATTTGATGTCTACTTGTACAGATGAGTTCTTAGCTGACATGTCAGACCAAGTTGCTTTGGACAACTGTATGGAATCCTATGACCTTACACGGGAAGAGTGGGTACAAGTGTGCACACGCAGAATCACCAAAGTACTTGGCATTGAGTCTAACAAACCTTTTACTTTGCTGCTGTCACATAAGTATTCGGAAAATTGATTCATGTGCTCAACTTCTTAGATTTTCCTGCAAGGCAAGGGAAAAGGCTTGGTTTGGAATTACCGATTCGTTCAGCCAATTGGACAGCCGGTGGTCCATTCTCAGTGAAACAACTTCCCACCTCATTGACATTGAGAACATTGAAGCTCATCCTGTTTTATTGTGTTACTTTGTGCTCATTGTTTGCTTTTTTGTTTGAGAAATGCTTTTCATAGTTGATTTTTCTATTGGTCAAATCCTGGCCAGTCAAGCAGTGTCACAAAAAATCATACATTAAGGACCCAGATCGGATTTCAGATGATGATGGTGATGGTGATGCTGCCCCTGAGCATGGACCGGCAAATGCCGCTGAAGCTGAGAGCTCAAACGAGGAGATGGCGTTGGAGGCAGAGCCTTCCACGAGGGCGGCTTTCAACGCCCTGAGAAGATCTTTCAATTCTACCATTGCGTTTGTCCAACCTCTCTACTCAGAGCCTTTACTTCAGCTACGTATGCGCATGCTTGTGGCTGTCTCATCGGATCTACGCCCTGAGTATCAATCCCACCTTGAAGCTGAAAGCCACGGGCAGCTGGAGATGCTGCGTTTCGCGATGGCCAGGGCGAGTGGTCAGACGTGGTACAGCACCATCATGGCACTCTTTCAAAGGTTCTCAAGTGAATCAACGGTTGATATGCTAAGGCTGACACCAGCGTCCAGACATGTCTGGGATTTGCAAGAAGGGGAAGACGACCGAAGTCTGCAAAGGGAATTTCAACTACTGCGTGAATATTGGACATTGGTGGTGCAACTTGCATCAAACCGGGCTTGGTCACAGGCCTTTTACGGGCTATGTTTTCCCTATTGCCTTGCAAGACTGTCTGACCCCTCTTCAGAAGGCCTTGTCGAGAAGATTGCACGTGGCATTCTTCGTGTGGAGCAGTTGATTGAGAACAACCCGAAGATGAAGGCCTTGCAAGATCTTCTCAGTGCTGTTGGAACAAATCATTGGTTGGTCACACGTGAGGCTTTTGTGTGTGGAATCAACAAGGGATGGAGCATTCAATCAAACACTGAGATGAAGGAGATGGTCTTTGCACTGTTTGGCGGGCCGAACAATACCAAGGGCGCACTAGAGAACACGTTCTCTAGTGTGAAAGATGCATGCTCCCGCTACAACAAGAACATGAGGCAGGGTGGCAATCCTACAAAGTGGCTCTACACTTGCGCAAGCCCATACGCCAAACAAGGAGGCTTACCACAGCTGGAGCTGGACAAGGAAGATTTTGCTGAATACATTCAGTCTGGAGGGCGGAAGCTGCAGGTTCCCAGGTTGTATGATTTGCACAAGCATTCGATCTCACAGGTAGTTCCTCGACCGCAGGAGATTGTATCAGAGGCAAGGAAAGCCAGCCATCTTGCGCATCCTAACTCTGCTGCAGCAACGTCTTTGATACTGCACTGCATGGACCATGGTTTTGAGCGTGTCAGTGATTCCTGGGCAGGCTCCCGGGAATAAGTTTTGAGCAACGTGTTCATGTGCCAGAAGCATTAGTCTATGGATTCAAGGTTGGTTCATAGATTATTCCTGTTGCCATCATGTTTATCCATTTGCAGATCTGCCCCCAGGCAGTTTATTCTGCACTGGCGAGTTTTACACTGACATCCACTCGAAGCAAACTTGGCTCTGCCTTGGATTCCATGAGTTTGCTATGCAAGCAATCCCTGTTGAAGTTTTGGAATTTGAGAATCAGGTGCGGTGTTGACAGAAATTGAAATATCTCTCTCATTACATTGTTCCCAAATTGCCAACACATTAAAGACATGTTGACTCCATTCATACATTCACGTTTCTGACTTATTGGAGATCAGTGCCATTGTCCGTAAAGGTCTTTTTCGAGATCCGCCCAGAACGTGTTCATGTACCTGTCTGGCACTTTAACTTTGATGCTAGTCAACAGTGCACTTGGAGATTGTGCCCGAGCAGACCTTTGCCTCCATGCGCCATTCCTTTGGCAGTTCGAGAGCTTGCCCAAGGCCATATTCTTTTTCAACAAGTCAGTGAGAGAGAGCACCTGCTCCCAGCTGCAGTCAAATCAGGGCGTGTCTTCTTGGCATGGCAGTACAGAAAGATGATTGCTAGCTGGGGGCTCAAGCTTCCTCGAAAGGGTACTGGCAAGAATGAACGGGTCAAAATCATAGACTTGTGTCGGGTTTTGGCAGACCACTTCCTTGAAGGTTTGTCAGAAGAAGAGAGACAAGCTCATGCTGCAAAAATGGCAGGGAAGACCAAGGACACACAAGATGATGGCATGGAGCCGCAATTGCTGGAGGCTGTCAGTAAGCTTGATGAGAAAGAGCAAGGGAATTTTCGTGATATCGTCGACCGTTGCTTGAACCAATTGGAAAAGCAACACAAAGAAGGATTGCCGAACAAGAGACCAAAACCAGACCCTGAAGTTGAGGGGTCAAAAGAGATGCCTGCAGCCGCCGGGAAGCCATCATCGTCAACACCTCCTCCCACTCCAGCTGAGGTCTTTGCCAGTGCAGCAGATGACACTATGAATCCGGGGGGGCCAGCGTCTTCGAGCAAAGGCCCCTCAGAACATACTACTTTGCCTCCTGCTCGTGAGAAGAAGGCACCGGTTTTGCGTGGGTATGCAATCAAGAAAGCTGCAGCAGTGAAACGACCAGCGCCACCAGAAATTGCTTCTCTATTTCCCAAAGTGCCTGGACTTTACATCAAGTGGCTCCCCAATGATAGGCGCATCACCATTGAATTCACCAGTTTGCAGGGCTCAGGATTTCAAAGGACTAAGACAGCATCGTGGCCCGCATTTTGTGGAGTCGGGCCAAAAGAGTCGGCTGTCCACACTGTGCTGGAATTCGTTCAGCTCGCACTGAAGGTGCACTTCAAAGACTGGAGGAATGCAGATGGATCGAATTGGGTCATTCCTTCAAGGGCAGTGATCCAGGATAGGGTGACGGAATTGCTCACCAGAGAATTGCATGAGAAAGGTCAGAAGTGAGTCAAGCAGTTTCACCACAATACAGAACTCGAAAACCGAGCAGAGAAAAGGCAGAGGATGTGTGCAGTCATGTCTTCTCAATTTTACTGAGTGTTTCTATCTAGACCCTTCTCAATCTCACTCGAATTTGCTCTAGACTCCTCGATGAACATTGATTGAGATTTTCCCCTTTGCTACCTCCCTTTTGCTACCCTCCCTGTAGCATCCTATGAATGGGAGGTGGTCGTTTCCACCAACGTGTTATTTTGGCCTTTATATACATTCTTATTTTTGTTTGACGCAATCTGTGATGCGCTGATGAGCGGTGTGGTTGTGAGGAGGGTGTGATGTTGTTGATTGTTGTGTGTCATGTGATACTGTGCAATGAATTACTTTGTCATGTGGTGAAGTGCCGTGCTTTTCATGTGGCGATTACAATATCTTGAAGTATAGTATATATGGTGATTTGTAATGTGGTGAATTCTAATGTGTTGATGATATGGTGATGTAGTGATGTCTTGTCCAAAGTGGATCAGCCTCTGGTGTCCTGACCTCGTCCAATAGTTTCCACCACCGAGCATGCTTCCGGAGCGGCACAACGCCGATCATAGGACTTTTGTAGAGACACCTACATGCAAAGTTCATGCACACACGTGACTCCAGCGTAACGAGTTCGATTGTTTCCATAGCTCAGAAGTTTCTCAGTTTATCAACAAGGAGACTTCCTTTAATATATAAGTCAGTTAAACCTGACAATATTTGTAGAGCTCGTTGGGGTAACGTGGAGTCATGAATAAGGGCTTTGCACTAGCATAGAAAAGTTGTCATCCAGACTCGACCAGCCGAAGATGACGTGGCATGCTACAGACATTCACACCATTATGCACTTGTCCATCCCGGGCAAGGTTCCCAGTAAGCATGTTGCTAAAGCAGCGATTTCGACTATTGTTAGATATGCCAGCAGTAGCAGAATACGGGTTGTTGTGCCAATCGTGCCGTCCTTTTCAGCATTGTGCCAAGGACTATTCGGCTGCTTGGATGCGCTTGTATGTTCGTCTGAGAACATATTTGTATATACAGTCTTAAACAATCAGCCTTGCGACTAGGGCCGTGCTGAGGTGGACAATGCCCCTCTTGACCAACCGCTATATGCTTTTTGGTTGCAAATCGCTCATTCGCCACACTGCAAAGCATCACTATGCTTGGCTTCTGTTCTTGGCTACTTTCAATTTGTGGGCTGCGAAACTGAAAGACTTGGCTGCGAAACTGAAAGACTTGACCTCACTGGAGGCTGAAGATGTGGGCAGGACAGCCCTTTGCTTGCTGACTGACCTCACCTCTGCCGTGACTGGCCGGGACCTGATTCTGCTCAAGCTGGTGTGGTCAATACATAAATGAGGAAACACAAGCATTGATTCAGGCATGACTATGTATGTTGATATGGGCTTGCACCCCAGCTTTTTCAAAGCCGCTAAATGACTTTGGGCCAAAGCAACAGTGCCTCGACTTTCTTTGATCTGGTGGCTTGCGCTCACCCGTGAGGCTTGCATTCAATGGGCCAGTCCTTGGACTCACCAGCTTATGAGGGTCTAGATCTGAAGTCTCGATGATCAAGTGACTTTGGAGCCATGCAGCGGAGCCCAGCTGCTATGGCATAGCAGCTGCTATGCTTCCATGTGCTTCCCACTTGCTTGGCATTTGACACATGGCAGTGTTCAGAGCTGCTCTCAATCAAAAAGCCAACTAAAGGTTTAAAGGTCTGGCCTCGTTTCGGGACATGTGAGACCTCATGTCTTATATTTTTTCATATTCCAACGTCAACCCATGGCTGTGATGCTGAAGGCCAAAAAAGTCGTGGATTTCTTTCACACTTGCATTCAGCTGACCACTATGCAAGCTTTGGATAGGAGACGATAGTGTGATCCAATGTCATTTTTTCCTTCAGGATTTCTCAATCCTCGTGCTTCCGACAGGGTAAGCAGCTTCGACCTGCGAACCTTGAGGGCCTCGACGGCTCCGACGGTCGAGTCTTTGCCGTCTGGGGAGATGCGTGGACAACTCAGGGTGCCAAACCACCTTGTTCCTAGTAGCTTCTTGTTACTACTAGTAAGGCACCTGTTACTAGTAGCGATGCACTTGTTCCTAGTAGCTTCTTGTTACTACTAGTGAACATTTCACTCTTCGTCCTCCCCTCTTCTCTTTCCTGTCCTCTCTCCTGTCCTCTCCTTGGTCCCGTTCTCTTCGGAGTCAGTGATCTCAGGCGTTGGTCTCGGGCACAATTGCTGGGCGAGATTGCAAAAGGCACAGCAAGTCATGCAGCAAACATTTGCAACGTTTTACAAGTTCAAATTTCTTTTCAAAAGCACATGGCACATCAGCTTTTTGCTTTGCATGTTTTCAATCAAGAATCTCCGAATACCATTTGCGACTCCATCTTCCTTGTACTTTCAAGCGTTCGCACATGCTGCTGCCGTCGTCTTCAATGTCAATCCAGGTGATTGGGGTCTTTGCAGAGCCAACATAGGCAGCTCTGCTGCACTGGATGTTTTGACTGTCATCGGACAGCTAAACTGAGGCATGCACGTTTGTTAGGCAGGAAACCACACGGTTTCAACTTTCAACGTGAAAACATCAACAACAAGGTGATTTCACTCCGAAATACTGCACGCTGAACAACTCGAAGATGCTGATTGTTGAGGAGGAAAGCACCCAAAGCTTTGTGTCAGTCCACAAAAGCTGAGGCGATCTCACGTCTGGTCCAACCGAACGCTGGCCGGCCACTCGTGGACGCCTTGCTTTTGCACCTATCACAGCCACTTGCTTCAAATGAGAAGCTAGTTTGATGTGGACATGTCGTTCAGGTAGACAGTGATGAAGTCATCCTGTCTTCAAATCCGCTTGACTCAATCCATGCAGGTTGTTCTTTTTTTGCATCATGGATTCCAATGTGACATGATTGGACCTAGGAGATGACAGAGAGCATCTTGGCACTTCTACAATATCACAATTTTTCAATTGGTAGGCTGCTGCCGCTTCTAAGGCTACATGAGTGAGGCTCAGCGGGAAATGAATGCAGCTAGGCAAACATTGCAGCAGCTCGGCAGCGAACCATGCCTGTCAGTTTTTTTGTTTAAACACACCATACCTTGAAGTCAAAGAACGTTTTGTGTATGCAAAGATTATTCACACGCTTTTGAATCTCTCACTCTCCAAAGGATGCATGCAGAGCCTCAAGAGATTGAGGATGAGCCAGCACGAGAGGAGCTTGCTGTGGTCATCAGTTGTTGCTTTCATTGATGGGAACATGCAATTTTGATACATTTTTCGGTTCCTTGAATGGTGATTTAGGCAGGAAGTCCTTGAGTGGTTATATATAAGCAACACCAAACGATTGTTGTCCACTAAATCTTGTTTGACTCACCTCAGATGATCCCGTTGCCTCAGAGTTTCAATATGTAGTAGGTTCAGCGCTTCTGCAAAGCTGAATTTGTGGACAGGACACAACTTCAACTGCTCCAGGCACCGCGTCAGACCAGGACTGGTGATGCTGGGGGCCAAAGGGACAACCTTGAACCTCAAAATCGGTGGCGTTCAGAGAAGGGGCAAGAACTTTGGAGGGTACATTGGGCGCACATGCGCCGGCGCAGGACATGGCATGCCAACCCTTGCCGAGCCAGGCCTGGAATATTCATATTTAAATTGTATGTTCAATTCAATTTCGAAATCATTGATATACAGGAATGAATTTAATTTAATACAAAGACATATTCATAAAATATATACATTATTGATATTGAAATATATATATATACATATTTAAATATAAATATCATATAAAGAATTATTACGAATATTACCATTAATTAATTGGAATTATTTTTATTTTAGCAAATGAACGATTGGAATTTTCGAAAACGTCGTATTACGTGATAATTTGATATATATAAATTCTATTTAAATTCTATTTATAATATATAAAAAATATATAAATAGATAATATATTTTAATTTTATATACATATTGGAATAATTGAATATAAATATATTTATAATTATTAATATAATTTTCGATTTTAAATATATTTAAAATATATATATCTTAATTGTAATTTAAATATTCTTAAAAAATATATTTAATTGATAAATTATTGTATTTGTCGAATATGGGAATTTAATTGTTATTTTTTCTAAATAAATATATTTGAATATTTTAAGATATATAGATATATTATGATATATTTAAGAAATATGTTAAATTGTTTGATATATAGGGAATTTAATTTATATATATTAATAAATATTAATAGACGATATATAATACGATATAAGACATATTTATTATTTAGATTTAATGATATATTATGTATCTTTCCGACCATATTTACGAATGATTTTTTAAAACAACAAATATATATATAGAATTATATTTTGTTTATTACGAAAGGTAGCCCTTTAGGGGATACCTTGAGTTTGTCTTGCGAAGCAAGTGTTGGGACGTCCGGGTCTAATAATTGATCGCTTAATTTAGAACCCC